TGTACTTTAATTCAAAAACACTTTACGTTTATAGGTTATTTGGGATCCATACCACAGCTGTAGAGACCGGTATCCATGTAACCCGGTTACGTTCTACCATGGATGCTTAAAGTGCTTAGACATTGTCGAACGCTATCATCCAGATAGAGTTTTGAGGCAGTTTGGCAGGGTTTAAACCATCCCAGATGCACCGCTAGCTCCTAGTCGTGGTGCACGAGGCAACATATCTGCACGATATACCGTCATGTACAGATACTTGGATAGGATGTGGGAGGCTTGGGATAACCACGTGTTGTCTGCGCAACGGAGGAGCACACCAGTTCGTCAGCCTTGGCAATGTGTACCGGGTTACATGGATTGGTATAAGAATATCACGCACCTATATGTCGAGCACACTGATGAACCGCGTGTCTATGACCATCAGGATTTCAGCGAATATGCGGATGTAATCTATTATCCTCTCTGATGCATATGTAACTTACTTTTTTTTTTGTTGATATGTTCCCTAAAATGTGATATTCTTTTCAAATGCAGCATATTGCACATGCACTACAGATTTCACATCCTATTATTGACGCTGGTTATGAGGAGGGGATTTGACATCCTTATTGACTTTACCAAGCTATCGAGAGTATGACGCATGTCCTTGAAAGTCAGCACATTGACGAAGCTGGACCTAGTTCTGCTGGAGGTCGCTTTCCATCTTCGACATTGACATACAGTCGTAAGCCTAGGCGTAGGCATACAGCTGATTCGTGACATGTTATTTTGTTACATGTTATTTTGTTAGTTGATGAATTTTTTTTGGTGTTTTTTGTAAGATGACATTGTTGTAATGGTAACAGTGGTTAATATTTTCTTATTAGAATGGAATGGCAACAATGGTATTGTAATGACATTGTAATGACATTTTATTATTAGAATGGAATGGTAACAATGGTCGTTGATTTTGTAAATGATATTTTCTTATTACAATGGAATGGTAACAATGGTCAATAACATTCAATCCACATTGCAAAACATAACACATCAACATAAAAAACACATCCATTAATTTCTTCCATAATTCTAACATTGTCAAATGCATACATGTGTCATGCGACATCAACAACATCAAAAGTCTCTTGAGTAGCTACATTATCATGAATAATGTCCTTGAAATGTTGAATGCGACGCACATAGGCATCATCCCAGTCGACAGTCATCGTGGGAAAGACCGAAATAAGTCCAAACTGGTAGGATGTGCCCAAAACAAGTTTGTCACAATCATCGTGGACTCTTCAGACCGATGGCGCTCAATGTAATTATACTTGGCCAATTCACCCAATAAGTGTTGCATCTGTGATCTTCCAGCTCTCTGTACCACCCTGTTTCGATGGCGTACATTGTAAATGGTTTTAAGTGTGCTTACATTGAGGGCATCTCGCTGTTTCAAGGTTACTAGGATTTCTTTTGGCTGAACCATGCTCTGTGACATATCCATTAACAATGTTTTCTCATCCTTTGATAGCCTCCCCGCATATGAATGTCCCTCAAGGTGCTCCGCAGGTAGATGATTATGCAATCTGCATACAACGGTCAATGTCAATTCATCATGTGTAGTAAACCTGTGAGCCTTCATATCAAAAGGACAACCACACTTCTTCGTACCGGTTATTCTTGATGTATTGTTGCCATCATGTTTTAACTTCTTTGTTGCTCTATATTGGCCACTCCTCTCACAAGCAAGACACATCCTGGGTCTTTTTTTTCCCCCCACCATAGTCTAATGTTTTGATTACAATGACCAAACCATTTCTTTTTCCAACTTTACA